TGGATGGGAGAAGATCTTGGCTTGCTGCTCCAAGGAGAAACAACAACCTGTTCCTCTGTTTGGCTGTCAGCCTCTCTGCTCTGGATTTGCATTTCCTGATGCTTTCTGACTAACCCAAAGATTATTTTTTTTATGAGTGCATGTTCCTGGAAGAGACCCTGAGTTTCTTCTGGTAAGCCCTGAAACCATCCTTACGGGCAGGTTCAGAAAAGAAACTAAAAGCAGAAGAGTGGTTCCAGGAGACCAGAGACCCATGTGAAGTTCTCAAGTCAACCACAGCTCCTGGGGTCCCTCTCACAACCACTTTGAGAGATCTAAACCAGGCTGTGTGAATTTAGGACTCTTGGTGTCTCATGAGGAGCCCTGAGCACACATAATCCCAGTGCCTCACTAATGCCCAAAAGCTGTTTTGTTAGTGGATTGATGTGGGATTGTGGCCTTCCCTACCTGCCAGCTCCTGCTACACCATCAAGAGAGGGTAGGATAGATTGTGGGAACTGGTGGGATACTCCCAGGGGCTGGGGGAGCTGTCTGGAGCAGGAGCAGTGCAGGACACACACACAACACAGTGCCTGTGCTTCCTTTGATCTCCTGTGAATCCAAGCAGACCAAGCTTTACAGCACAGCCCATCAAACAGCTTTCTCCAGCGTGACATTCCTGTAGGAAAACACTCAGCAGCCCTAACAGACAGCTTTTGTGGGCCTGAGAAGTCTGAGAGATAACATCGTGTGGTGGCCAGCTCATGTTTCTTCCTGAGCTTTATGTTACTGCCAAGGCTGCTGCCAGTCCAGCATTTCTGCCTGGCCCATCCCCCTGGCACAGGACACACACACAGACAGCAGGGCTCCATTGGACCCCTCAGCCCAGGCAGGATCCCAGGGAGCATTTCCATCCCAGGGATCTCCCCTGTGCCCAAGCCCCATCACCTCTTGCTGCAGAGATTCCCTTCAGCATGGCTGGTGGGGAATTCAGAAGTCCTGTTGCCCCAGGCAGATTTTGGTGGCATGACTGATGGAAACACAGGCAAGGGTTAGAATATACTTGGAAAAACTTGCTGTTACTCCTAGTCACTTAGTTTAAGGTTTTTGGGAGTTTTGCCATGTTTTTCTACTGTGCCAGCAAAAACTGTTCTGTTTTGACAAGCATAAATCCTTGCTGCTACAATCACATCCTAATATTCTCTGATACCAACAAACCCAGTCTCAGTCTTAAAGGTCTTAGACCCATGAAGAGAAAAACCCACAAACAGCAGATGCTGCTGTTATTAACAGTGATGATAATAATAATAATAGCCCTAAAAACCCCACTAGTATTTCACATTTGCACATTGTCCAGTCTTTGCCCAGAATCCAGAATTTTTCATGTCCTTTCCATGCCCTATAAGAAGTCTGACCACAGCAGATAAGGGAGAACTATACCTAATAAAAATAAAGTAAAACAATAGCAGAGATCAGCCCAGAGAGGAGAAAGAGATATTACTTTTTCCCTTCACAAAGTGCTTCTCCACCCTTGGAGAAGAGGGATCAATGTCACAGCTCCCTCTTCAAAGAGACTCAGAGAAAGCCAAAACAATGCATGGCCAGCTTCCATTTGCTATAAAAGTACAGAAATGTGGTGCAGACAATGCCAGGCTCCTGTCACGGCTCCACGTGTCTTTGGGAGGATATTTGACCTCCAAGGATAAGACTGGCCGGAAAGTCAGGGAGTGGGGCTTCCTGTGCTTTCAAGTACAACATGTCTTCACCCACCTTGATGGCCTTCAGCACTGGTTTGGGCTGGCCTCCCTAAGTCCCTCTGGGACCTCCTGGCCTGGGCCAGACCAAGGTGCTAGGCTTTAGCCATGCAGTTTAGCTTCCCTGTAGTTTCTCCAGTGGCAGAAGACTGAATTTGAGCCTGGCTTAGCTCCTGGAGTCTGTATCTCATTCCATACCATGCTCGTGTGCAAGGCTCAGCTGCCTGCCTTGGTGACCCAAGCAGAGACTCTGCCCTGCACCAGCAAAAGAGTGGGAGATGGTCTTGAAATTGGCTTTGATTAGGCAGACTCAAAGGTAATACCTGCACAGCCACACACTGCATGATGACACTTGTGTCTCGCCTCCCTTCCTACGCTGCTCCCGCTGGGGAAGGAGGAGGCAGCAGCCACACCTGCTGGGAGATAAGGGGGACAGCAGAACCCTCTAATCAGGGCAGGGAGAAGACAACATCTGGCTGAGGGTGCAGACTGTGGGAGCTCTTAAGGATGCTCCCAAGGGGAGAGAGAACCTAGGGACGGCCAGCCCACAGCTTCATCTCTCGTGTCTTGGTTCTGTCCACATTTCAGGTGAAGTGCTTTTAGCCCTCCACTTTTCACAAGCCCAGCTGCCTCTTGATTTAGCAGATTCATTAGAAAGTCTCCAGCTCCTTAGGAATGTGCCCTTCCCCCTTGCAGTCTTCCAGTTCAGATTCAATTAATATCCGGCAATTAAGGCTGAATTAAAAGCTTTGGCATGAGGCTCCATCCTGGTTTCACCACACCACGCCTTCGCTGTGACCGGCACAAGGCTGAGCACGGCCACGGCCTGAACGCAGTGGGGAGAGCTGAGCAAAGGGCAAATAGGAAAATAGCAGGAATAAACAAAGAAAAGGGAGCCCAGCATGATAAGGACCTGCTGACTTGGCAGGTGTGTGCACTGCTTCCAGTTTCATGGCCTCTTTGGGACACAGGCACCCTGGAAGAGAGGAAGCCTTCCAGGTTAGTTTATCATATGGGAACCCAGCTGATCCCTGATGGACTTTATTAATCACCATGAGATGAAGAATTCAGGGCTGGTCCTGCTTCACCCATGAAGCCAGACTCCTCTGCCACTGCCATGGAGTTGGCACCTCTGGCAGCCACACTGGGTTGCCCCAGATGGGCTCCTCAAAGAGCAGATCCCAGAGGTTTATTTTTTGGACGCAGCATAGGAAGGAGAAATAAGAGCCAGGGTGAGTGACCTTAGCTGGATCTCTGGTTCCTCCTGGTGCTTCACAGCTGGGGCTGGGACAGGTCTGAGCTCCATGGGCCAAACCTGGTGACACATTTCTGCTGGAGTAACCTGGATTTCAGAATATTAGGGCATGGCCCTGGGGCAGTAACAAAGAGGGAGCCAGAAATATGACACTAATATGCAGGAACACTCCCAGCTATCATCAGCTGTGGGACTCAAGTGATTGGGTGGTGCAGAGTAAACAGAACAGAGCGGGGGTTTTAAGAGCCCAAGTTCTCTTTTCCAGGTATCTTATGCTAATGCACAAAGAGATCCAGGAGATAGGAACAGTTTGAGGAATGTAAAAGGAAACCAGCAGACAGCTATTAACAGAGGAAAAATTCACAGGTATCCAAGCTTGGGCACAGGGATGGGTTTTATTACACTCAGAGGGGTTGGCAGACCACCAAGTTTCTACTCTAATGTGATTATGAATTTATACCTTTTATAGGTGTGCATAGAGATTTCAGTATCAACCACAAGAGAGACAAAAAAGGGGGAATTAAACATCCTAGCTACTAAAATGCAGTTGAGGGTCCCTTCTAGCAGTGTGTCCATGCTGAATGTGTTAATGTGACAGAAAACAGGCTGAAGGTTGGAAGGCTGAGCCCAGAACATGCTGGGGTTTTCCATGCAGTCTGTGTACAGCCAAGTACTTCACCAGCATCCTCATAAATGCATCCCTCTGACATCCCACTGACAGGGCTGATAAGATCAGTGAGAAAACTCTCTCTGCCCTCACCTCAGGGTGAAACACACAGAGCAAAATACCGCAAGTGTTCCAACATGAGGAATAAATGCGGATACGTAAGGAATCTAGGGCAGCTCTGCTGATGATACAACAAGCCCTACAGCAGACAGCCTCCAGAGGGGAAATCCCAGGTGTCAGGGACGACTCCAAAGTGTTCCCTGGGGATTACACACACTTCAGCCTAGATTCAGTGAAGACAAACCCTTGGAGGAAGCTCCACTGCCTGCCCACGGCTGTCATGGCAGCCCTTGGCACATGCCAAGCACACTCAGCAGTTCCCTTGCAGGAAATCTCACTGAGGACACTGAGGAATTTTTTCCTTTAGGCCAGCAACAAGTATTTCAAAGCCAAACCTTTGAATTCTGACAACCTTATCATGAGGTAAGCAGGGTCTGACACAGGCACAGAAGTGCCCCTGAACTTTCCAAAAGAGACTTAAAAAAATTTTAAGACATTGCCTTGGCTTCGCTTCAGCTCACACATGCAGCAGAGGTGAAGAGCTTGGATACCAAAACAAATAATTCTCTGAGATCTTATTATATCTTGTTTTCAGGATTTGTCTCTCTTCCCTTGCAGTTATGCTGTCAGAACAGTGCCTGGATCTCACTCACATCTTCTCCCACATTCTAATTCTCACTGGAAAGAAAAGGATAATGATCTGTGCTGATCCAGTCTGCCTTTCACTAACCACTCACTGCAGTACATTTTCCTGCCAGTGGAGCAGCATTCAGTTATCCCATTTTTCTTTATGTGGTCAGTCCCCTCGTAAAGATAATTTAACAGCTGGTGTAGAGCTTAACATTACCACATAACAAAAGCTAATGGCACTCTAGGCTTGAAAAATTACTTGGGACACACAGCCATGAGCACATGGGCACAGGCATCTGGGACAGACCATGGAGGCAAAGGGCACCTCAGTCCCTGTTTAACCTTAGGCAGGACAGTGCTGCTGGAAAAAGATGTGCTGGAATGTCACAAAGTTGGGGTGTGCCTGGAATGGAAGAGCAAGAGGGAGAGGTGGAAATAGGTTTTGAAAAAGCATCCTGGGATGTGTCACCTTCAGCCTAGGTCAGAGCAGTGAGAGGTGACTGAGAACAGGGAGGAAACACCCTTGTACTCACCTGACTGCTTCATCTGCTTGGAGACCCCAGCTTGGAGGCAGGGAGGGCAGGATGCACACAGATAAATCACCTGAGAGCCTGTTCGATAACCACTGACCCTGTCTCTTGTGCTTCTGCTGCAGTTGCCTGGCCTGTGAAGCAACATGAGTCACAAGGGATCCCTCAACAGCAACCCCGGCTCAGCAAAGTAAGGATCTCCCTGCACCTTCCTACTGTTCAGGATACTCCAAGCAGTCCCACTCATCCCCAAATTCCCTGGTGTTTGTTTTACCCCTCCTGGACACCTCACAAGCTGGAAACTGCCTCACACATCACCTGCCCTGTGCACTGGGGTTTGATAATGGCACATGAGGTGGAGAGAGCAGAGGGACACCAGGAGCCTCTCCACCAGCAGCCCACGGCAACCTCCCAGTGGAGCCAGAGCCTCCAGCTCTCTCCCTCCTTCCTGCACTGGCTATGAGCACCTGATCCACTGCCTGCCCTCAGGGGCACATGGTGACAGAGCACAAAGCAGCCCCTGGGCACCCATGGGCTCACTGCTCTGTGCAGGACAGCCCAACCACAGCACCTCAGATCCAGAGAAAACTCTGTTATCTCCTGGGTGCTCATTCCTACCCATGACCCATGCACAGGGGGTGGCCCTACATGTGCTGCTTAGTGACTTGACACCCCAAAACTCAACTGTTTTCACACAATTCCACCTTCCCTTACATGGGATATGTTCTATATCCAAGCAGCTGCCTTCAAGGGGTACATGTCCAACATGTCCATTGAGAAGGAATCATCACCTTGGCTGCTGTACTGCCTCAGGTTCAGGTGGGCTCAGGAATACATGGAGGGGGTCTCCCTGTAACTCCCACTTATGGCACACTGGGAGCTGCTGTCCTTAACCCAGCCCCTCCGGAGTGCTGTCCTGCCAGGGGACACTGTGAAGGTAACTCTAGTGGGGAGAGGCCTGGCTGGGCTGCTCCGTGTCCTGTTTCCACCGCTGGGTTCAGTGACATGTGCCTGTGGTGTGGATAACGGGTAGGGTTGCACCGGAGCCTCCGGCACGGCCCACGAGGAAATGCTTTGCAAGGAAGGGAAGGGCTGGTCCCTCTGGGCACTGCAGAGCTGCTGTGTGAAAACTGATGTTAAAAGTATTTGGGAGCTGATGGTTGATTTGCACCTTCTTCCTTTTTCAGTGGCAGCATGGGCAAAGCCGAGGGAGCCTCCAAGCTGAGTGCAAAGGATTTGTACGGTGAGTTGTGCCTGCAAACATCCAAAGTTTCCCATGGCAAAGGCACCTCTGGAGAGCTGGATGTGGATGTTGGGGAGCTTTAGGCTGGAACTCAGTCAAAGCCACATGAATCCAGAGTTCTATACCCAACAGGCTGGCCTGACCTGGCAGCAAAAAGACACCTCGCATCTGTGCTGACACCTCCCACACTGGGGACAGTTGGGATTTTGTGGGAACAGAACGTTGCTTCCCTTACCCAGATCCTCCCCAGGTCTGTTAGCAAGATCACTTGATAAAGGGCCTCACAAAAGAAAGACTGTCCTCAGCAGGTTAATGATTATCCTCTCCTAACTACTTAGTGAACCATGAAAATTCCATGCCCTTTGGCTCTTTGGAAGTGCAGGGAATGGCCAGGATGGGTGTTTGTGCACAGTCTGAGAGGCAGCTTGTTTGGGTTCAGCACATTTAGGTATCAATAACAGTTATTCCTGATCTCAGCAGATCCAAGTATCCCAGGGGAAAATGTGGCCTCTGGGGTGGGCAGAGCAAGCATAAATCATGGGAGAAATCACCTCTCCTAGTTATTTCCTGGGTAAGAAGTTGGAGGTTGTCTGGGCTAACACAAGCAGTTTTTGGGGTGTCCGAGCCTGCCAGCTCTGCCACCTGAGAGCTGTGGATTTACCTGGTTGATGGTTTAATTGGGAAGGAACAGGCTGTGTGTGCTTTTCCTTGGATATTTTCTATTTGATCAGAGATTGTCTTCGGTGGCTATGAACTGCCAGTGTGGTTTATTTGTCCCTGAGAAGTGACTTCCTTTGCCCAAGGCTGGAGGATTATCCATGTGGAGTGGCCTGGAGCAGTGTCTAGAGAGGCCACCCTCACCTGGGGACAAGTGGGATGGCAGGGGCTGTATTTAGTGCTAAACAAAGCCACTGTTAATGTCAATTAGCTCCCAAGAAATGAAACATGAGGGTAATGGCAGAGCAGAAGTTTGGCTGTTTGTGGCCTGGATGCTGCAGGGTGGGCGGATGCCAAGCAGGGGTTTGAACTGTGGCAGTCACTTCTGGACATTGAAGGACACATGATAAAGAAGCAAGAGGATGAGGTGTGGGAATTTTGGGTGCACACAGGGCTGCTAGTGCAGACAAACTCCTGCCTCCAAGGCAGTGCACATTCCTTTGGCTGTGCACTGACACTGGCACATCCTGTCAGGGGCAGGAGGGCTGCAGGTTCCAGGTAAACAACCCTACAGAGATGTGTAAAAATGAACCTGGGAGCTCACAACGGGATTAAAGCCAAGCAGATTTGCAGGCTGGCACCCATGGGTGCAGGAAACCCAGGGCTCCAGCCACCAGAATTCCAGAGGGGGATCTAATGGTGCCATGGCACAGGGAGCGGCCCTCAATCCTGTGCCACAAAGGGCAGTGCAGGGAAAGGCTGACAGACTGCCTTGGAAACAAACACAGCTCTCAAATAAGCACTTTTCAACACAGAATTTCATCTTCCACATTTTTTTGTATGAACACACCTCAAAAACAAATTCACCAGGGTTGGACCTCTCTGACCAAATTCCAGCAAACCTGAAATGAGGACTCTGTGTCCCTGGGCCAAATCCTCAGGAGGAGTAAAGCAGCTGCCTGCTGTTTCCCTGCCACTACTGAAATACAGATTGAGCTCTGATTCCCTGCACAAATCAGTGCCTCTTGGCCAGCCCAGCCCCTGGCACGAGCACATCCAGAGGGATTTTGCTTGGCAGCACTTGAAACCCACCCGCTAATTCAGCAAAAGACACTCAGCACGTGTAAACCAATATTTAAATGTCTTGGTCCCTTCCCACTCGGATTCTCCCTCCCCCAGCATTAATTTCTGCTGTGAGCTGCCACATTTGGGGATAGAGGGCAAGCAAGAACTAAAAATCCAGGGAGAATTATGTTTCATAATGAAACAAATCACACCAAGCTGAGCTGGCCTTGATTATGTGATTACAACACTGCTGAGGGATGTTTGGAGCTGACAAGACTTTTCATATTTCCATTTTCCTCCTGTGCAATCAGGCTGGACCCTCAGCCTGTGTACACTGCCAGACCTCCAAGAAGTGAGTGCAGTGACTCCCAAATTCCCAGCACACAGGCATCCACTCATTTAAAGCTCTCTGGGTTATGATGGCTCCAATGCACACAGGTGTCTAAATATTATTTCTAAATGAACAAGGCCTTTGGTTTACCTTTCTAAAGATGCTTTTTCTACAGTAATACTGGCTTAACATGACAGGGGTGCCAACTGTGAGTACAAAAATGCTACCTGAGGGCCAAGGTGTCCCCAGTATCAACAGGGACTTATTGGGAATATTAAACCCACCTCAGGGAGACCCTGAAGAGGGATATTTAAAATTGTTGTGGTGAGGCTGGAACACAGCAGCAGCTCTGGGCTGTGCACAGGAAAGCACCTGGATGGTGAAGGTGGAGGTTCACTCTGGGGGACCTCCAGGACATAGTGTGAAGGTGCTCACAGGACACAGCCTCATCACACGGCTGTTGATGGATGGGGAAGGCTCTGGTGTCACATTTGGCCTGCTGAAATTGCTTTGATCACCAAATATGTTGCCTACCACCGTGTATTCTTCACTGTGGTGAGCACACAGGGATGAGGAGAAATGACCAGAGGGAATTCTACAATGAACCCGACTTAAAGCCCCAAGATACCCTCCCCTGGCTCTGTTCCTAGCAGAGTTTGATATGCTTTCCATCTGCTCTGCCATCCTCAGTGAGGTTTCTTGGCTCTTGTGGGAGCAGGACACTCATCCTTTCCTCCCCCCTTAGTAAAACAGCACCACATTGGTTCAGCTCCACATTCTGGAGGAGTCTGTGGCTGCAGGGAGCAGTCCCACCTCAGCTGGCAGCAGGGAATGGCTGGCCCCTCTCAGGTTGCCACCTCTCCCCACACAGCCACCAGCTGAATAAATGCTAATGCACACCATAAATAAATTAGGCTGCTTCTCTGCTTACGGGCGTCTGTTCTGAGCCCAGATGAAAGCCTGGGGGGGAAACCAGGCTCCAGCAGAACCCATGGGAGGACTGGTAGGAAGTGTTTCTTTCTGCACAGCATTTCCCACAGCAGGAAAGCTGCTGCCACCCTTTCTGAGTGACTCCGGGTGGGCTTCTGCAGGTGTTCCCCCCAGCTGCTTCCAGAGCTGTCACACAGCACTGGCTGGCTCTCCTGATGGATTAGGCAGCACAGCAGGAGAAGTTCAGGGCAGTTTGACGACTGCAGTGATGTCTCACAGGGCTGTGAGGAGGAGCAGCTCATTTCTGTTTGTTGCTGTCTGTCCCTGCCTCCTTCCAGGGTCTGTGAGACCCTGCCAGCTGGTTCCAGCCTGTCCAGCCACCCTCCATGCACTCATTTCTGGGAAAGAAACAGACTTGATAGGGCACAGGGCTGGAAAAGGGGTTTGGGAGCAATGAGTTGGGCTGGAGAAGCACAGTGCTGATGCCATCACTTGACACTGCACACCCGTAACCCAAGCCAGGCTGCTGTAACAGGACACGAGGCACTGGCACAAAGAGAGGAGCCACTTCCTGCCCAGTGTGGCCCTGCACAGGGATCATCTCCCTGGGGAGCCACGGGCAGAGAGGCTCCACTGGTGCCAGCATCACCCCTGAGCCACAGGCAGCTGCTTGGCACTGGCCAGGCAGAACACACCAATGGAGAAAAGTAACTTCCCTTTAATGGTCATGAACCAACTCCTGGGAGTTCCACAGATCTGCTTGTATCCCAGCAGGGCCTCCAGCCCCAGCCACATGGAGAGGTCCCTGAGATGAGGCCCTCCAGCCCTGAGCACAGTGCCCAGACTGCAATTCCCTGCTCCTGGCTCTCCCACACCCTGCCCAAACCATGAGCTTGTTCCCAATCCCAGCTGGAGGCCACATGGCTGTCACATCATTATTGACACGAGCAAGGAGGGACTGTTCCTTCCCCACAGCCTTTAGGAGAGGATTTGTGCAGGATTTAACACACACTAGTATTGTCTGCAAGAGACAACTCTGGCAGGAGCAGTGGCCTGCCAAGCCTGCTCAGCCACACTGCTGAGTCAAGATGACCAGGTCCATACCTAAATCCACAGGGATCCAGAACAGTGCCACTCACTGTCATGTCTTGAAAGATTTCATCATGCTGGAGAAAAGGCCTGAGGTTCAGCAGAGATCCAGCCTTCTTGCCCAGGTCATTAATTCCTCCTGTCCCCTCCTGCCAGCCCTGAATAACTCCCTTGTCCTTCCCCTGGTCCCTTGGTGCCATTCCAGCTCCCTTCTTCACATCCCCTTTCCCCCCTGAGATTCCAGCTTCAGATTACCCTGCTCCCCTTTGACACTGTGTGTGTGGGACCCTTCCATTCAATGCCTTGGACACTTAATACACCAACTGGGAACAGGGCTGGAAGAAAAACTGGAAGCCAACAATCCTGTTGGTTCCTGCAGATCAAGCCCCAGTGGTGGGTGAGACAGGGAACACATTGACTTAGTTCAGCCCTAACTGGAGCTACTGGGAAGAGCAGACGCTGCTCCAGGTGCTGCTGGCCAGGAATTTGGGATGGCAGGGATGTGACAGGGATGCTGTGGAGAGGGATCTCCCACCTCTGATGCTGTTCAGCATCTCCAGTGACCCTTTTTCTTTGCCACCTTGAAACTGCTGAGCACAAGTTCTTACCTTTCATGGAGTAACTGCTTAGAGCTCACACAAAGGAACCTTTTCCTAAATGGAAATGGGGTTTTGGATATGCCCAAGTAGTTTGGGAACTAAAGTTGTGATAGTTCATAAAAATAACAACCAAAAAACAAAAAGAGGAACTTTTCATTACAATTTTTTTTTTCAAGATTCAAAGAAAGCTAATTAATTAAATCAGGATTCCCACAATCTTACTATGTTCTGAAAAAACAGAACATCTTACTATGCTCATTCAAAAAATGTCATTACCAGCTACAGAAAGCTGAGAAAACACCAGTTTAGACTTTTTGGTGAAAAATAAT